CATTTAACCTTACTCTCTCTACTATTTTACTCATCGTACTTTCAATTTTCTTAATTTGTTTACTAAATTTTACAGATTGAATCATTATACTCACTTTGTTGTTATCTTTATAACTTTGTGAGGACGTATCATTTCTTATTATTATTTGATATAAAATAATTGAAAATATAAAAGGTAAATTATATTGTTCTTAACTGAACTTTACTCTCTCCTATTTCGCTCACCCAACTATAAAATACAAACATAATGTGGCCAGATGCCACAGTCGACGTCGTAGATGGTGGTCATTTGGTCTCAAATTTAATGGGTCGCTTCGCCTCGACACCTTGAGTCTGAATTTGACCTCCATTTTTTCAGAATTTGCTCTGAAGTCCACAAATTGGAGATTAAAAGTGAGAAATACGAAACATTTTGGTCGAGATACACGGATTTTAAGACATTTTCTGGTGAAACAACCACTAGATTTAGACTCAGAGGGTCGAGATGAACTAACCCATGAATTTTGAGACCGAACGACCACAATCAACGACGACAAACAATAGACATAATGAAAATGACGTGGTGGCTGACAGTGACTACCGATCATCTTATTTGCAAAGTAGAGAAAAAATGAGGGGAAAGAAGAGGATTTAAAACGACGTTGTTTTGGTGTAGATTAGAGTTTTTTAAAATGATGACTTTTTGATGTTTGTGTCATGTCATAACACCATTAAAAAGTTAAAGACATTGTGAACAAAATGATTCAATCTGTGAAGTTTAGTGAATAAATTAAAAAAATTGAAAGTACGATGAGTAAAATGAAAGAAAGAGTAAAGTTTAGTGAGGAACGGTATAATTTACCCTAATTAATTCTTACGATATGTAATACTATGATTTAACCGGCTACCTGCTGAACCAGGTAAGCTCAGCACAACCTCAGCTAAAAGAAAGTGAAAAGTGGGGCTTCTCCCCACTTCAGCAGCAATGATGGCACTGCCAGTGATGGTGGGTCTCAATGCCGTGCTACTATCCGAAATAATTATTTTCGACGTTTGGTTGAAGGTATCTCACATTATCAGGGAATAAAATATCATTCTCTTGTTTAGTTGATAAATATTTTCAATTTCGGTAATAAGTTATTTTAAATAGTAGTATTCTGGGAGTATATTACTGTAAATATGATTACTTTTTTCCCTTAGATGTTGTTATATTCCTGACATTTGGACTAAAATATTCTTAAAATAAATTTCTTCAAAGATATCTTTCATATGTTGTTGAATAATAAAAATTATACGAAGGTTAAATTACAAATTTATTCTTAAGTTATTTTAGTTTACAAAAAAAAAATCCATAATTAAAATTTTATATGAAGTTCAGAGGTTAAAATAAAATTTTACCCTTTTATTAAACCTATTTATCTTTTCAATTTTGTAAAATATATATATATAAATTTTATGAATTTAAAATTTTTAAAGAAAATATATAAATTAATTATAGTAAAATTATAGTAGATAATAATGACAATTTGGTAAAATATATATTCCAATAATCTTTTATTCCTTTAATCAAACATTGTAATCTTACATTCATGCTAAACGGACCAAACACAAAATATAACATTTCCAGTAATCTTATTATCGCCGGTAATCCTATTCTTGTCGATAATCTTACATTCCGTTAATCAAACGCACCCTTACATTCATCCTTCGTATGTAAAATGATCTATTAATTAATTTATTTGTATATAATTTTATAATAAAAATGTTTTAAGCTAATATTTTACATCCATAACACTAAAATTTAAAAGAGGAGGTTGGCCTAGGAAAATAAGGTACTTTAATTTTTAAATAATATTAAAATTTTGAATCTTAAAATTTATAATTTTTTTGTAAAATTTGATATTAAATAATTGATCAATACATCATATAGGATTAAATCGACCAGCGGAGAATTTAGTTGGTGTTGAGATTGAGAAAAATGGATGTCCCTTGTTCCCATATATAATGGGGTAAGGAGGGGTAAGATAGTAGGTTGCCACCAACATCAGGTTGAGAGCAGCTTTCGTAGAAGACCTCCGAATTATGAAATACTTTCCGTGAGACTCGATCTTACGATCTCAAGATTAAGAACCTTGTGCTCTATCAACTGAGTTGGATAGTCATCCCATGTAAGGTGTTGAGATTGAGAGTGATGGGCAAAGAGAATCTTTGTTGGGAGCTTGGAAAGGAGAGCCGACGATGATGCCCAAAGTAAAGCAAAGCAAAGCAAAGCAAAGGCATGCGTTGTTCCCAACACCAAACATTTAGGAATTCTAAGGCTTTGGGAGGTTCCCATTTGGCATTTTCGCACTTTACTTTTTATTCCATGCCTATATCAATTTCTACACCTTCACATAAACATGCCTATGGCTATATCAATCTTTATAGCCGTCAATTTATCACTATTTTTATAATTTTTTTTGCTATACAAACATTTTTTATTTAAATATACCAAAGAAAAACCTTTTTTTATTCGCCCTTGGTGGGGAAATTCATGTTTTGCTTATAGGGTCTATGAAGTTAAAAGACAAAGGTAAGATACGTAAAGGCATTCACTTGATACGATCCTAAATCCAAATATTTAAATAAAAAAATTGGGTAATAGAAGTGTACCACAGAAAGATACAATTTACGAGGCAAAGAACACTTTTTTTGACCGTAAGCACTTGCTCTTTTTTACAACTCATAAACTTGTATTGCATTACATACTCTTTTAACTCATTAATCTTAGATTGCATTTATTGTTGATTACTTATTTTTATTCACAAAATAATCATATTTATTATCAAATCCTTATATAAGCAAGTCAAAATCGGATTTATAACCATTTTACTTTTAAGGAAATGTGAACAACTTAGTTATATGGTATGTTGATTAATTAAATTAATCCATGAATGGGTAGTAGGAGCAAAGCATTGAGACCCACCACCGCTCTTAGAGCCATCATTGCAGCTGATGTGGGGGAAATAGGGCTGCTTTTCACTTTCTTCTCTCGGTACTTGATTATGGTTATAGATGTTAAAATGGTTTTTGAATTATAACACACCATTCATCGTTACCACTATAATCCGATATAGCAGTTCAAAACTCGCTCCATACGGGTTTTCAAATAATATAATGAAGTCCAATAGAAAGTATCCTAATGGGCCTTCCTATTATCAACTGAACTGTATGAGGATTCTGATTCTAGAGTACAAGGCTATCATCCAAGTGCACCTAGTAATAGTATGACTTGGTTGAAATTAGTCTTTCAACAGTATCAAATTACAATTCCTAACAAGTCATTCTTGAAATAAGAATTCAATTCAATAGACATGGCAACCTACTCAAAGAAAAAAGTTATCACCCATCACCCATGGCACCAAATGTGATAACCGAGGGAGATGATGTTCCATTATGAGGATTGATGTAGATGGGCAACAAACCATCAGAAGGGAAGATTTTATGGATTTCTTCCATGACAGCCTCCACCTGAAATAGAACTCTGCTACTAAGTTACAGAAAGTAAACAAAAAGCTCATGTTTTATATGCAAATTTACCAATTCCACAGAGAAATAATGTAGATAATATAAAAATGCAAAGGCTTGCTTAATCAAGAAATGAGAACTGGAAACAAAGAAAAGTCGGGTGATAATGCCAGACTATTAAGAAAGATGCCAACAGGTACACCTTCTGCTGGTATTTGGTATCGTTTAGTCTTTGAGATAAAGCAATAAACTCAAGCTGCTCTGATCCAGACTCTGCCAGGGTACTGTTTCCCTAAAAATACAGAAGATTTATACTAAAAAAATGGAAGCAGAAATTTCACGAGAATCATGAAAGCTACCTCAAATAAAAGTCATAGTAATGAATGAGCATTAGTATAAAGATCTAAATTGGCAAAAAGTTGGTAAATTTTACCCTGCTAGTAAGGTCCAGAATATCATGAAGATTTAAAAACCAAACTTCAATAATTACTATTTACTAGATTGTTTAGCAGCCTTTGAAAGTGCAAAAGTGACTACTTCAATGAACTAAAATTTGTTTGAATGAGAGAAATGGGAGGAAGTGAAATGGATAGGAAGTGTTATTTTTCTTAGAATAGCAAAATAATAATAATAATAATAATTAGGAGACAAGTTAAAATGAAATAAGGAAAACAACTTGATGGAGAATCACTATGTTTTTATTTTATTTGGATATAATTTTAATTAGGGATATATTCTGAATTATCTACCTTTGTCTGCTATATTTCTTTACAGCTCATATCTACAAAAGCTATTATAAAACCTATTGAGTTTTCGCTTGCCTCCCAATCAAATGCCAACTATTTAAACTCTATTATCCACCGTAGTTACAGCTGGGCCAAATGTTATGACAACCGAATAAAAACTCTAATTGGATGTCCGAGCCACCATGCATCAAATTCTTCTTGGCTTCGACATGTTTAAACACGGATGGCACTATCACAAACACGGATGGTCGAGTCTCGATCGGTGGAGTTCTCCGTAATTCAAATGGTGATATGGTTGCCGTTTTTACCAAAAATGTTGGGATAACTTCGATTCTACAGGCTGAACTGTGGGACATCTATGAAGGAATTCTCATTGCGTGCAGCCTTGAAATTCCAAAACTCTGGACACAATCTGACTGTCAACAAGTTGTTGAACTCCTAGATGATGGGGGAAGATCAACTAGCAATATTTCTCTAGTTCGTGCTATCGCAAACTTACGCCAACGGGCCTGGGAGACAAAGGTCCAGTGGATTCCTAGAAGTAGAAACACGATTGCAGACAAGTTGGCCAAACTCGCCTCATGGCAGCATTTCAGCATGACCCATTTTGAACACCCACCAGCAGAGCTTGCAGATCTTCTCCACCGGGAAGCAGAAGCAACGAAGTAGGACAACTTTGCTTTTTAGCCTACTGTTTTAGGCCTCTCTTTTTCAATTCAAAAAGTATATACATCAAAAAGATAATTTGATTACAACCACCATCAACCAGTGGAGAAATCAACCTTCATTTCACATATCAACTCGTATATCATATTACACTGAAAAACTCAGGACATGTACGGTCCGAAATGCAGTTGAATAGAAAAGAAAACCGTGGCAGATATTATACAACATGATATGGTTACAGACACGAAGTACCTCAATAACTCGAAGAAAAAAAAAAGAATCATCCAGTTGGCGACGACGACTCCCACAGGACTTGCTCATCGATCTTGTTCAGATTCTCGTCGTCTAGGCGCTTCCATGTCTTGATCCTCTCGAGTCCCATCCATTCCTTATCGCCCTTCCTAAGTTCAGCCAATATGACTCTCGCTCTCCTATGCAAGCCCGCCCTTCCGTAGCCGTGGTACCCAAAACCTCCACCATAACAAAACCATATTCCCTCCAGATTCCCACAGAAGTCATTATTATGATCATGGCCTATGAACACAGCCTTTACATCATTTATGGAGACCAAAGTGTTTAAGACCCCTGGGTTTACCAATGAATAAGTCACAGCCTCCCGAAACTGGCCTACAATCTTTTGGTTGTATAACTGCCGAACCTCTGGGATCGGAATATGAAAAAATGCCAGCGCTGGTGATGGATCTGCAGGCCGAGTTTTCGCTGCATGACATACGTCCTGATTCTGTCCCTGTTAGTAAGAACATGCCATTAATGGATAATATTCAGCATTTGAGGTTGTGTCATAATCATTGTAGAATAAGTTACCTGATGTCCCTGTGAAACTCTGCGAAGCCAACGAAGTTGAGATTCCTTGATCCATCCATACGTTCGAACTCCTTGAACCGTCTCCCTGTCTCCACTATCGAGGAAGAAAAGGTTGAGGACACTACTGTTTGCCAAACGGGAACCCGGAGCACCATAGACACTGAGATCATAATTCCCAAAGCCATCGATATCCTCGGAAGGCGGATTAGTTTGAGAGAGCGAATAATCCATTAGAGAGATGAAAAACATCAGTTCTTCCCGAGTCATTGTAGATTCTTGGTCATGGTTTCCTAACACAGCTGCCCATGGGACTCCGGATTCCGTTACGGGACGAAAGGCTTTTAGTAGAGATTCAGCAGCATCAGAAGTGCTTGAACCAAATATGTTGTCTCCTGGTTTAAAGAAATCAAAGAAGATCCTCAGATACTGGCATGATCAATACAGTCATAAAAAGCACAATCATATATATCTTAAAGTCTTAGCCTACTATCAACTACAAGTTGGATTAGCATAAAATGATGCAAATCAAGTTGGAAGTGTCGTGCCTATAATGGATTTGTGTAGTATCTGAATCCGAAATAGTTGACTAATCGGTCGGATAACAGACCATTATAGCCCCATAAAACAATTTTGTTGTACCCACTAAGGGTCCTCTGCACACTATTTTCACGCCTCACAACCATAGGAGAACCCTAAAATATCTTCAGACACCCAAAAACTCCGGAAGACAAAGAGAACACCTCCGAAAGAAGAATCTCGAATATGTAGCATCCCTTGAAGAGTCGTGACTAGCTAATGTGATCTCTAACATGTGCATGTGACCAGGGTTTTAAATAACGGTCCGCGACCGCGATAGATCCCGCGAAATAGTGATAGCGCTGCCTCCCGATATACCGCAATAGCGCCTGCTATGGCCGCAATAGCACCCGCTATGGTCGCAATCGCAATAAACGAGACATGACCGAAAACGCGACCGGGATTTGAATCTCTGCATGTGACTTACCAGAGCCAAGACTATCGTCATGTGACCATATCCACTTAGCCAGCTAATTTATGGATAGCTATTAAGGCGTACTAAAGGCTACTATAAAAGCTCTCGACCAAAACCGAAAGAAGGGATGCAACTTCAATGAAACTACTCACTTTAATTCTTCCCTGCTCTACCTTCCGAAGGAAACAGAGTTCTGATTTCTCGGCTCGCGGGCTACGAGTCTACGTCTCTTCGTCCAAATCAGAAAGAGTGAGCCTAGCGTAAGTTCGTAACTCAATCGATCACATCAATAAAGTTGTATCAAGCTAATACAGTAGATTATGAAAAATAAATATCAACTCTTAGATCCATTCAGAAATAGAATGAAACCCCATATCAAGATTACTTTAACTGGGTTCTTATAGCTGATCTGGGAAATTGACTTAAATTCCCTTGTTTTAAGCACTCCACCAATTAGCCTACTAACTGAAGCTTAAATCAAAACTCCGAGACGTGCACAATCAAGTAAAACGGAAAATAAAAAAGTAAAGTCAAAGTTACCGGTGAAGGCAACAAAGTCAGGATTTTCAAGTTGAATCAAGGCCTTAAGAAACCGTGTGGTGTTGAGATCGGTACAGTAAGGGAACTGGGAAGGCAGCACGTCTCTACAACGGGTGGTGAGACCGGCGCCGAAATGCATGTCGGCGACCTGAAGGATCTTGAAAGTGCCGTCGTGCCGGAACCGGAGAGGAAGATGGGGCCATTTCTTGTGGTGAATAGGGCTTTCGTCGAGCAGTAAATTGGTGTGGACAAGGCGGAGGACGGCGTAGATAAAAGCGAGGTAGAGAATCGAGTGCTTCCAGTTTACAGCTCGATGAGATTCCATGTAATTTTGGTAATCACAGTAACAGATTCGGACAGAACTGTACAATGAACCAGGCTCGTCTATTTTATTATTGTTTAAGATTATATAAATGAAGATCATTAATTAATTATTATATGTAAATGTTTAAAGTAATAATTTTTTTATTATGTAATTAATTAATTTTTTTTAAAATTAAATCTTTAACCTTAAAAATAAATGAAATGAAAGTTCTCAATAAGAATTATTTATTTATTTTTAGACAAAAATAATTCGGTTTATACACGTGGAGTAATTTGATTCGTGGTATTTCACATTTGTGTACCTATATCTTTTTCTCATCTTTGATCTTATAAAAATTCCAATTCTATGTGAAAAGGTAAATGATTTAATAAACTTCATATTACTTTGAATATATATATAATATGAAAATAAATAAAATAATTGAAGATTTTTCGATAAAAATATTATTCTTTTAAGATTTTATAAATATTTTAATGATTTATAATTTATTATTTCAAAAATTTTATTATTTTAAACTTTTTAATTAATTAATGCATTAAAATATATAATTTTTAAAAAGTTTTAAATATTTTCAAAATTTCTAAAATATTTTTCTATTTCAATTATTAAATAAATTTATTACCAAGATTAAATAAAACCCTTAAATTTTATAAGAAATTAATTAAATCCAACTTTATAAAAAATTATAAAAAAAATTAATTGCATTCTCTAACTTTCAAAAAAAAATACAATCACATCAACACCATAACGATAATAACTTATTTCTATTAATCAAAGGACCACATTGACTATTTTTTAAGTTCGAGGGCTTAGCTGGATAAAAAATTTGGGAGGCTTAACTTTTTTATTTTTTTTAATAAAATACAAGTCAAGCCAGAATAAAGAAGATGACTACCAAAATCAAAATATGCCAATATTGCTGGAAAATAAAAGGAGCGTTGAAGCAACAAGTCAGAGAAGATGATTTACAGAAGTTGAATAGCTTCAAAGTGCAACATAATATCATTTCTCTAACAAGATTCCAGTGCACCTTCAAGTGAATAGTTCGTAGAATGACAGACACCTCACTTATAATCCTATGAATTCTCATAGACCCAACACCAAAATGAGGAAAAGAAAAGCAACCAGTCCCGACTGCCTCCGTTCGGCGGATCCGTAGTAGGGCTGAATCATTATATTGAACTTGCAAGTTCCACCAATGGGAGTGGGATCCGTTTTCGTGATCATCGAAACGTTTGGAAATTTGCAGGCTATATCGAGCTGGTTATTCTGCTGAAAGTAGCTGTTGAAGGCATAGGAAATGTTCCCCCTAGAATCGAGATTTCCGCAAGATGTACCGTAACCAAGGCAAGTGCAGTCAGCCAACGAGCATGCATAGTTCACGCTCGGTGCCACTGATGGATCATCGAGTTTGGCATTCGGCTTCATCACACACCACTTCCTCTGCTGGTATTGTACACCTTTTGCAGGAACTAAAGTTCCCGAGTTTGTAGTGCCAAGGTTCAGAGGGTATTTGGGCTGCCCATCAAAAGTAAAAACCCCCCAGTGGCGTTCGAAATTTCCCGGAGCAATGCTTTTAGCATCCTCATCGATCAAGCTAAATAAATATGCATCTATCGGCCCAGGTCTCATTGGGGTTCCTCTCCCACCTGCAATATGAGACATAAAACCTTGATTGAACCGTCGAGCATACTCTAAGTTAGCATTTCTATCTCCATCGGTGGGCCATCCAATCTCCCCTACTATAATGGGCAAATCTGCAAATCCATTCCTTTGTAATGCATGAGCAAGGGTATCGAGGTTGGCGTCAAACATGTTGGTATATAGTGTTCCACCATCATTTATTGGCGTCGCATTGCCATCAAAGAATCCATACTCGACAGGGAAGTTGGGATCAGAATAGAGGCTTATAAAGGGATAGATGTTCACAGTGAAGGGAGCAGCACTAACACTCAAGAAGTTGACGATTGTAAGCATGTAGTCATGGATGTTGGCGCGGAAGTCCCCATCAGATGGCAAGCTGCTTGAACTTGCATAAACATCAGCATTGAGGGGAACGGTGACTTTGACTTGGTTGTTATGCCTGGCTTTGACCAGCGCAGCCTGGATGTTCCTAAGAGCAGGGAACGTTATTCCAAGGTAGCTTCCATTATATGTCTCCAAGAAAGGTTCATTTCCGACAGCCACGTATCTGTAGGGCAGAAATGACAACACAATGTAATCGGAACTAAAGAATGAAACCCGGCAATCCTCGAGTAAGCTGAAATTTATGTTGTGGTCCGACATCTTAGATATGGTTGCCAGAAGTTGTAAATACCATATTTTACAGTCAATTGCACTGCCTCATATAAATACAACTAAAAGGTTCAATGCCAAAAAGATCAGCTGCAACTCATACGAGTCACCGGAAAGCACCATGCAACGACAAAGTTTCATGAAAAACCTTAATCACACGGAAGATAAAACATCCATGTACCAAGATTAAAACCAGTCACAGCTATAGTTACAATTTGAAATGTCTTCAAAAACTGGATGTGCCTCGAGGTAATGGGCAAATTTTCAGAGGCGAACAAGCCTTTTAGGATGATTAAACTAAGTCTAAATAACTAAAAGAAAGCCCTTGAACTAGTTTAGTTTGGTTAAATAAGCCCCTATACATTTATTATATGCAAATAAGCCCCCTATCCTTTGATTTATACTTATTTTGGCCCTAATTCACAACACTGCAACCTAAGCTAAAACAACATAAAGTCGTGAACTGAAGAAGAAGAAGAAACATAAAAAACAGAAAGCAAACCTGATGTTGACATTATTGGAAGTGATGTGCTGGGTGATATTTTTAGCAACCCATTTCTCAGCAGCCTTCATGCTGCCACCCACGGTGGCGAGCATGTCGTTTGGGATACCCACCATGACCTCAATCCCAGTCCCGCCCAGAGCTTTAAGCGTATCATATTCTGCATCAAAAAGCTTCACTCTTTGAAACCCATTTTCTCTCAGCAACCTTACCACGATGTCCGGGGGAAGAGGGTGAGTTGACTGTGTCCCCCAGTTCACACCGATTCCACTCACACTCCAAACCACCATAAACAAACATGCAAACCCAATATTAACTCTATCCTGTACTGAAACCCACCCCATAGTATTCCCTCTCTGCTCCCTTTGCAACTAAATTTTTAACCTTTTTGTATCCCCAAGCAAATCCAGCAACCGGAGATACTAAGAAACTGGTTTGAAAAGTTCTGATTCGAGGAAAGCAGATAAACTGAAGTAAATATGGTTTAACCTTTATTAAAGAATGGATATACTAGTTAACAAAAAGGGAAACAAAATCTAGCAGCAAGCAGTCAAAAAGAAACCCAGATTTATATTTCGATTAGCAGTAGAGTGGAGGGGGGGAAAGAAGGGGAAAAGTTAGCTTAAAAAGAAAGGAACAGGATAAGCAATGAGGACATGAAAAAGGTTTAAAGGGTCTAACTTTACAGCCGTTGAAGTGCGAACTGAGTAAGAATCTAAGCCTCCACCACCACCACCACCACCATCACCACCGCCACCGCCGGCCCCTCCTCTAAAAGGCCAAAGAACACACTGTAAGGCTAGGGAAAGAGAGAAAGAGAAAAGGTTTGAGGCAAAAAGCAAAGGTACAACAGGGGAGAGTGGAAAGTGGAACCTACATCTACACGACATGTGAGATGTCAGATAAGCACGATAATCAAAACTTAAAATGTCATTTTTCGCCAGTTACAAATTACACACAAAACATCAACGCGACAATTAATGGTTTTTGGGGAATTTATATGTAATAGATAAATTTTAAATATTTAATTCACATTATTTATTATAAATATTTTTTAAATATAGTATATGTCAAAATTTCAATTGTGTCACTTTAAGATTTCAAAATTAATAATCGATTAAAGTAATCAATTTCATAATCAGATATCGATTGAATTATTTAAAATCGAATTAAATTGGCTGAAGATGGCGACTTTTAATGTTTTTTAAACAATGCTCTAGGTTGACGGGGACATTACGGCCGTCATTTATTTGTTGACGGCCGTTAGTTGCAGTGTTAAGACAGTTTGGACCGCTCCGCTCATATTCTACTTTTTCGTTTCCAGCATTGCGTTACAGGCACGTGTACAACACTCGACAATCATTGCAGGTGTTTGGTTATTTATTTTTAATATATTTATATTTGATTTATGTTTATTTAAATTTTTAATATTATAATTTTTAATTTTTAAATGTATTTATGTATTTTGTTTTTGATTAATTTAATATTTATAAATATGTTTAACATTCTTTAACATGTATTTTTATATGTTTATCAACATGTTCGTTTAGTGTTAACAAATATATTGGTGAAATATGTCATTAGTCTTAAGCTCTTTAGACTTTATAGTTTGAACTTCAAAATTCATTTATGTACAATTTAGTTTTAAACTTTACTGATATTAAAAAAGTAAAAAAAAATTAGAAGGAAAAAATAATCGGGTAAACGAGCATATAAATGAGTTGATAAACAAAATTATAAATAATCCAATAAAATAAATTGTCTGTGAACATAAACGAACCAACACACACCTCTATTCATATTTGTACGTTTATTAAATTAACTTTGGTTTTTAAAGGCACAAGACGCAAAAGGTCTATAGAGCCTAGGCGTAAGGTGTATGCGCACGTTTCGTATGCGAGGCATGCATTTTATGCTAAAAGGTTTATAAATCAATTTTATACAATATCTATACTCATCACCCACTAGTTCACTCATGAAACACCTAAACTTTTCTTTACTATATTCATTCACCATTGCTTGTCCCATCCTCAAGAGTTAAGAGCTATTTCTACTATTAATAAGACATTGTTTGTATACACCTAGATTCATGCATTACACAACATGATTTATATGCTAATATACTAATCCTTAAACTTGATTTTGTGCAATATATTAATCCTATGAAAGCAGATTCTCTTTCAACTAGAGTAGCTATCTTAGTTGGAGGAGAATGATAAGTAATTACCCTATTTCTTTGTCCCTTGCCAGTGCAGCAAGTTTGTCTGCAACAATATTCGCTTCTTTGTGTATATGGCATAGTCTCACTTCCCAGTCACGCTACAAAAGATCATAAACAGAGCTTGCAACCGTACAACTATCATCAGATCGATTATTAATCTTTAGTATTTCCACTGTTTTAGCACAATCCAACGCGGCAGGCACCAATTCTTATTTTCTTCTTCTCCAGTTTATTGCCTGCTGAATGTTTCATATAAACTGGGTTTTGGGTCATCATTAGAACAATATCTGTCTTGGATAATATCGAATCTTTTGGAATCTCTTATTCCCCTTCATTTTTAGTTTAAAGAGACTGACAAAACACTACTTCTGGATTTTATAGGATAAGCCACAGTGCTCAAATTTCAAATAAGTTCATTGTGAATGCCGAATGGTAGCCTTGGGTTCAAATTCAGACACTATTGCTTCAATCAAGGAACTAACTGCGCTCAACTTTCGGTAAATAAGAGGGAAAAAACAATGAGTTTCTAGGGAAATAAATGCATAGAGGCGAGACTTTGTTTAGCTTCGTAATGAATCTTCGGGTTTTTCTTAAGCCTAAATCCAGCTGAACATGGTAGCTTAAAATGTTTCTTTGAACCTGTTCTTTAGTAAAGCTTGAAGCTGAATTTTCACAACCTATCCGACCAATTGAAGCACAAGAGTTGGGTCAATTAGACAAGGGAATAGAGTAATATGATGGGAATTTAAAATGATCACTCCTGTATTTATTGTTGCTGCTATTGTCTTAATATTTTTCCTTAATTTCAATGTAAATTTTGATTTCTTAATACACTGGCAATACACTTATGAATTTCATTCATCCTGCTCTGGTGCATGGGTGGCATCTCATCCGATCTGATTCTCCCATTCATTTGAATTATTGAATGAAGAACTTGGAAATGCAACTTTGTGGTATGGGTTTTACTGAATTAATGATCATCTTCCGGTTATTGTGAATCTCATTCTGAAACCTGACACAGAATCAGATTGTTCTTATAACACTAGTCTCATTCTTTGATCTTTCTTCACATGTAATTTCAACATATGGCTTCTCACCTATAAGTAGCATTATTTTATATCTTTGCTCTCGTTCTTGTTCACAGGTCTTAGTCTGCACATTCTTTGCTCATTTGACATCTTTTGAGTTCTTAAAACCAAGCAGAGTTTGTAAACTAAGACGAGCATCACAAATTTCTTTCTAAAATCTTGAGGAAACCGTGCATTTATTGTCTAGTTTTATAGCTTAGCTATTATCATCAAAGCATATAACAGAACAGAATGCTGAAACTGTCATCATCAAGGTATCCTAATTTTATCTTCTTCTTCTTTTCTTATCGTATTGTAATATACTTTACCTTAGAATACATGGACCCGATCTTCTGCCAGCAATGGTGCCCAGGCAACAAACCATAAGTGAGTAGCAGTGAGTCGGTTTTTCCATTTCTCTTAGCTGCTGTGTAGGTTCAGAATGATTTGTGTCATCTTCATTAGTTGAGTTCTACACCTGACAAAATGTGAAACATATGGATGCAACAGATGCAATGATCCCGACTCCTGCAAACGCATTATCGCCGAAGATTTTGAGCATGGAAGAGGCCTTTGGAAGCTTACATGCTACAGCCATTGGAAAAGTATGTTTTATCACCTGAACAGTACATGTATTTCAAAGGGTTCTCAGTAAAGAATTATTTTATAGTTCAGGAGTTTTAGGCTGCTGGAAATAATAACATTGTCAGAAAATTCAGTTTTGTTAAATCAAACATATGAATTTAAACACATTGGATCATATTTGTTAAATCAGTTGCAGATATTTGATTGAGAAATTTTATTGTTTTTCAGTTTTGCTCGATGGGATGTCTCAAAGAAAGGCAATGTAATATAAGGTTAAAGAACGATATGGAAAAGATGCAAAAAAAATGTTATAAAAAACATAACATTTTCGATTGGACGTAACTTAAAATATTAATTTTTTTTTAATATGAACCGAAAATGTTATGTTTTATTATAACATTTTCGGTTGTATTAGTTCTCTGTCGTTCCTTAATTTTATATTAGATTATCATATATTTTTTTATGTACGTGTTACATTATGCATCCTATAAAAGTCCAGGGCCAAATGGGAGACTACCCCCAAAAATATATATAGTGAGGAGCTTTCAATTTGTGGCTATCCGATAACACAGTACACATTGTAATAAAGTTTACCAAAAATAATTTAAATAGGAAAAGCATCACAAAGCGAAACGCGGTTTCATTTGAAAAAAAAATGGGTGTGCTTTGTCCCGTATATAATGGGATAAGGGGATGTAAGATAGTAGGCTGCCCCCAACACCAAGTTGAGAGCAACTTCCGTAGAAGACCTCCGAATTATAAAATGCCCTCTTTCGATCCCACGACCTCAAGATTAAGAACATTGTTGAATAGTCATCTCATTTGAAAAAAGAGATTCGAAATTAGAAAGAAGTCTTAAAAATCGTGCCGTCGGTTACAATGTGTAATTGGGCCAATCGCTTCGGCTCGTCTGGCAGTGGCAGGCAATGAGAATTATGCAGGCGATTTTACCAAAAAAAAATCACATAAGCAATCAATAATTATTTGTCAGATATTTTTTCTCCAAATATTAGTATCTAACACTCATTCTGACAGAGTGATAATAAATCGAATTTCAAGATACACGCTTTGTAGACATAGACAGAAGGTGTGGATCATGAAATGTACCTTCTTCGAGTTCTGGCTAAACTGGCGCCAAGGTGAAAAAGTGCAGATCGTAATCCGCACCTTCGCGGGATTTTCGACACGTCAAGGAGGCACAGATTATGAAACGTGCATTCGATTATTCCACCTCAATTATTGCATATTCTACTATTACCGCAACTGCCTTAAGTTCCGGATGACTCATCCCCTCTCCCTATAAATACCCCAAATTCAAATATCAAACCACACTAAAATTACATTTATATTTTTCCTTATATAAATTCATTTTATCAAGTAGATTTTGTTATAATTTTTAGAAAGTAAAATTAATTTTATTATATTATAATTATTTCATATTCAATTTATTTGACCAAAATTTATTTTACTAATTATTTTTATTACTTTTTGCGGTTGTAAAATGGAAGGGAATTATATCTCGTGACATTTTACCGACACGGTAACAATATTAAATTGAATTATTTAAATTATTGTGAATATATTTTTAATTTTTTTAGTATTTGTTTATATTTTAATTCGTATATTATTTATTTAATTAAAAGAATGATCGAATATTAGAAACAATTATTCGTTTTTGCAGATATAAGATTTTCAATCTTTCAAACTCTCAAAATGAGGCCTGTTTCAACTATTATTTAATATGATGGAGAAATTCGAGAAGACAAAATCGACTTTATCTTCGAATCAAATTATTATGCCACCTTATCCTTCAGGAGAAACAACACTTTTGAGGAGTTGATCACTAAAATTTCAAAAAAATGTTCATATTGAAAGTACAGATGATTGTATTCACTTCAGTACAGATTTCCAACTGTAATATTTCTGTTAACTTATACAGCGTTCGAACT